AGGGATGGTTAGCTCACTGAGTGAGCATGGTGCTGACAACACCATGTCAAGGGTTAAGATCCTCTTACCGGTCATTAAAAAAAAAAAAAAACTGCATCACGGGCTGGCTGGCTAGCTCATTTGAGAGAGTGTGGTGCTGCTCACACCAAGGTCAGGGGTTTGGATCCCTGTACTGGCGAGCTGCCAAAAAAAATGTTATATCAATTTACACAATCTCCAGGAGTGCCTGGTTGTAATACTGTCATCAGCCTGGGCATTTTTGATTGCTTTAATCCATGCCTTTTTTTTTTTTTTTTTTTTGCAGCAGGTTCACAGCTGGAAGGAGTTTGGCCTTGGGTCTCAGATGAGGCTTTGGACTTTTAAGTTGGTGCTGGAACTAGCTAAGACTTTTGGCACTGTTGGGGTGGAATAATTGTATTTTGTATGTGAGAGGGACATGAGTTTGGGGGGGCCTGGGGCAGAATGATGGAGTTTGGATGTGTTGTCCCCTCCAACACTCATGTGGAAATCTGATCCCCAATGTGGCAGTGTTGGAAACTGATTGAGTCATGGGTGCAGATCCCTCGTGAATGGATTAGTGCTCTCCCTAGTTGGAGGGAGTAATGAATGAGCTCTTGCTCTGTTAGTTCCCATGAGAGCTGGTTGTTTAAAAGACCCTGGCACCTCCTCTCTCTCTCTTGCTTCCTCTCACCATGTGATCTGCTTGTACCCGCTGGCTGGCTGCGACTTTCCACCATGAGTAGAAGCAGCCTGAGGCCCATGCCAGATGCAGCTGTCCCAGAATCGTAAGCCAAGTAAACCTCCATTCTTTATAAATTACCCAGTCTCAGGTATTTCTGTTATAGCAACACAAAACGGACTAATACAGAAAATTGGTACTGAGGAGTGGGATGTTGCTATACAGATACCTGAAAATGTGGATGCAGCTTTGGAACTGGCTATTGAGGAGAGGCTGGAGGAATTTGGAGGAACAGGCTAGAAAATACCTAGATGCTAGTGAAAGTTTAGAAGACAAGAAAACCAGAGAAAATTTTAGAGATTAGTTAAATGGTGGTGAGCAGAATGCTGACAGACATATGGACTGTAAAGACCATTCTAAGGAGGTCTCAGATAGAAATGAGGAACTTAGTGGGAATTAGAGAGAAGATCACCTTGCTACACCATAGCAAAGAACTTGCTGCATTGTGTCCATGCCCTTGGACTTTGTGGAAGGTGGGACTTAAGAGTTGTGAACCAGAATGTGTGGTGGAAGAAATTTCTAAGTGGCAAAGCATTAGGGAAGCTGCACGGTTACTTTTAACAGCCTACTCTGAGTTATGGTGGCAAAGGCATGATGTAAAAGTCAGAATTTAAAAGGGAAGTGGAGCGTAAAGATTTGGAAAATTTGCAGCCTGTGGTACAGAAGCAGAGAGCAGAAGAAAAATGCAAGGGTGAAGCAGATAAACTGGTTATTAAAGACATTAGCTTGGCTGCGAGGCAGCCAGATGCTAATAGCCAGGACAATGAGGAAAAAGCCCTAAAAGCGTTTGAGAAGTCTGGAAGTATGCCCCACCCATCACAGGCCCTGAGGCCTAGAAGGACTGAGTTGTCCCAGAGGACAGACCTGGGGTGCAGCTGCTCTCAGGAACCTCCTTCCTGCATCCCAGCTGCTCTGGCTGGAGCAGCCCTGCCTCAAGTGGCCACAAATGTGGTTTCTATGGCAGCTCTAGACAGTAGAAGCCTGAAACCTCAGTGGCATCCACGTTGTGTTAAGTCTGCAGGCTGGCAGGACGTGAGAGCAGTGGAGGCATGGCAGCCTCCAACCAGATTCCAGAGGATGTATGGAAAAGCCTGGGGGCCCAGGCAGAGACCAGCCATAGGGGCAGAGCCACCACAGAGGCCATCTACTAGAGTAATGCTGAGCAGAAAAGTGGGGTTGGAGACCCCACAGAGAGCCCCCACCAGGGAAATGTCTAGTAGAGCCAAGGCAGTGGGGACCAGGTCCTGCTACCAGGACCCCAGAATTGCAGGGCCAGTGGTAACATGAAATGCAGGCCTGGAAAAGCTGCAGGCACCAGCACAGCCCCCTGGGCTGCACCTGGTAAAGCTGCGGGAATGAGGCTGCCCAAGGCTTTGGGGGCCCAGGTGCCCAATTGTGCCCAGGATGCAGGACTTGGAGTCAAAGAAGATTATTTTGGAGCTTTAAGGCATAATATCTGCTCTGCTGAGCTTCAGACTTGTTTGGGACCTGTTTCTCCTTTCTTCTGGCCTATTCCTCCCTTTTGGAATGGGAATGTATACCCAATGTCTGTTTCACCATTGTGTCTTGGCAGTAGATAAATTTGATTTTGATTTTTACAGGTTCACAGCTGGAAGGAGTTTGGCCTTGGGTCTCAGATGAGGCTTTGGACTTTGGACTTTTAAGTTGGTGCTGGAACAAGCTAAGATTTTTGGGACTGTTGGGGTGGAATAATTGTATTTTGGTTTTTTTTTCCTTTTTGTATTTTTTTTTACTGACTGGTAACGGTATTGCAACCCTCAGTGTCATGCCCGTACCGGGGACCGGCAACGAGATCGCAACCCTCGGTGTTGCGCCCGCACCGCGCTCAGCCAGAGAGTGGGAACCGGTGTCCACATGGGATCCGAACCCTCGGCGGGAGCACCGCCGTGCTCCCAAGCAGCACACTCTCCAGTGCGCCACCAGGCCGGCGCATGAATAATTGTATTTTGTATGAGAGGGACATGAGATTTGGGGGGCCAGGGGCAGAATGATGGAGTTTGGATGTGTTGTCCACTCCAAATCTCATGTGGAAATTTAATCCCCAATGTGGCAGTGTTGGAAACTGATTGAGTCATGGGTGCAGATCCCTCCTGAATGGATTAGTGCTCTCCCTAGGTGAGGGATTAATGAGTGAGTTCTGGCTCTATTAGTTTCCGCGAGAGCTGGTTGTTTAAGACTCTGGTGCCTCCCCTCTCTCTCTTGCTTCCTCTCGCCATGTGATCTGCTTGTACCCACCAGCTGCCTGCCACTTTCTGCCATGAGTAGAAGCAGCCTGAGGCCTGTGCCAGATGCAGTTGTCAGCCAAATAAACCTCTGTTCTTTATAAATTACCCAGTCTCAGGTATTTCTATTATAGCAACACAAAACGGACTAATACACCATGCCTTTTTTTTTTTTTTTTTTTGCAGCTGGCCAGTATGGGAATCTGAACCCTTGTACTTGGTGTTATAATACTGTATTCTGATCAACTGAGCTAAACAGGCAGCCTATGCCATTTTAATAGGTGTAAAATTATTACTTCTTTATGTTTATGTGTAATGCTTTGATAAGTGATGAGGCTGGGCATCTTTTCACATGATGATGGGCCTTTGTATCTCTGTCTTTTTGAATAGCCTATTCTTCCCTTTACCCACCTCCCTACTGAGTATTTATCTTTTCTGTATTGATTTGTAGGAGATTATATATTAAGGGTATGAAAGCAGTATAGTTAATAGTGGTTAAGACCATGGATCCTAGACCCTGAGGCTTGACAACCCAGGTTATAATCATCGCTCTGCCCTCACCAGCTGTGTGTGAGCTCGAGCAAGTCATTTAACTGCTCTGTGCCTCTGTTTCCCCATCTGTCAGTGGAGATTATAATATTCACAGGATAGTTATGAGGACAAAATGGGTGAATAACGTATAAAAGCATTTAGAGCCCATTGTAATAAAAACCTCTTGAGATTTTATACTTCACAGCTATTGATGTTAATTGTAAGTTTCTTTCTCCATTTCCCAAGCTCTTCTCTGAGTTCCAAAACTGTATGCCCAACTTCCTCTGAAATCCACATTGAGCTGTACCACAGAGGACAAGAAAAGAGTTATTATTACTGAACACTGTTAATGCATCCACCCATTCATGCATGCATTCATTCATTCATTCATTACTCCTTTTACTTAACAAATGTCAGAAGCTCTGTACCAGGCAACGGGGGTACAGAAGAAAACAAAATATATTTGTTTCCTGCCCCCATGGAGGTCTGTTGGGAAAGATTGGTAGGAAAAAAATAGTCAAGTAATTAATCCCACATCTGTGGTATGCCAGTGAAGAAAAAATACATTGCACTATGGGAGCATCTAATGGGCCACCTGACCAAGGACTGAGGGTAGGGGTGTGGGGTCCGGACTCAGAGAAGGAGATGTGATGGGAGTAACGTTGAAGTTGACACCTAAAGGGTGATTGGGGTGTACTGGGCAAAAGTGGGAGGTGAGTGTCCTCCACAAAGGGAGCAGCCTAAACTATGTCAAGGCCCTGAGGCAGGAAAGTCCTTGGTAGTGAGAGGGACCCTGTGAAGTCTATTGTGGCTGGAGGTAAATGAGCAGTGGGGGATGGGGCTTGAGATGACGATGGTAGCACTGACAGGGTCACAGGCATTTGGTGAATGTTGGGTGCACCGTTCACCATGGGTTCCCTTTTTTGACACCATGGGTCTTGCCCTCATGAACACACTTTGGCACCTGTGTTATAGTTGTCCGTGCCCTGGATTGGGATTGGGACAGAGATGGAGTTGAGGGGATGAGATTGAGATTGGAGATGGAGCTGATATTTTGGGAACAGGGACTGGAGGATGGGATTGGAGACAAAACAATTAGGTTTGGGCTTAGGATGGAGTTACAGATAAGGAATGAGTTGGGCATTAGGGTTGGTGATGAGAATGGGGATATGTTTGGAGTTAGAGATAGGGTTGGGGTTGTATTTGGGGTTTAGGATGGGGAGAATAATGTGGGAATGGGATGGGTTGTGGATGGTACTGGAGGTGACATTACAGCTGGGGATGGGACAGAAACAGAGATAGGGATTAAGTTGTGGTTTATAGGTGGGGATGGGGAGATGGTTGTGGGTGGAAGGGACTTGAGAACAGGGTGAAAGGCAAGGTTTGGGTGGGGATGGGGATGTGGCCATGGTAGGGGAGGAAGACTAGGATGCAACAAAGTGATGGAGAATGACCCAGGCCCCCAATACTCTATTTTTTCCCAGCAGATCTGCTCTTTTCCTGGGAGGAGGATCGGAAGTTCATCCTGCGGGGCTGGTCTCTCGCCTTCAGCATCGTCTCAACCCTGCTGGTGCTGAGCGTTTTGGATGGGCGTATAGCTTACATACAGGGCTCTCACACTGGGTACCTGGGCTTCTGGATTGACTGCAGGAGGCACAAGTGTGCCAGCCTGGACCAAGTCACTGGTCAGTGGGAGCCTGGACAGGCTATGGGTTCTCTAGACAGGTCTGTGGAAATGATCAGGGGTGGAAGTTCTCCCTGGAGAACTGGCTGGCTAGGTACACACACACTGGAACCTGCCCTGGGGACCCCACTGTCTCCTGGTCTCTACTGGGGGATCTCTGGGGGAGACTCTCTGGGTGTTCTTTGGGAGAGGCTGTGTAGGATTCTCTGAAGGCGCTGTGAGGGAGTCCCCTTGAGTTATACATGACCTCTCAGCACACGGGACCATCGTTGCACATGGGAAGGGGCTCAGCACCCCTGACTGAAACCTCTACCTGATGATTAGATTGCTAAGGACACCATCATTCTCTCTGTTGCTTTTTAAAATAGTTTTTCTTTTTTAAAGGTGACAAAAGCCTTTCAGCTCCTTCAGAAACATTTTGCTTCCTTGTAGGTATCTGTGCATTTTAAGTGCTTTTGAACACTGTAAGAAGAGTCAGCTCAAAACCCAGAGCTAGAGTACCCCGGTTCGAAGCTTGACACAACCACTTGGTATTTGGGTGAAACTGGGCACATTCTCTTGCCTATCTGTGCCTCAGTTTCCTCATTTCTTTTCTTTCTCTTTCTTTTTATTTTTTTTAAAAGATGACTGATAAGGGGATCTTGACCTTTGACGTGCTGTCAGCACCACGCTCTCCCAAGTGAGCAACCGGCCATCCCTACATAGGGATCTGAACCCGTGGCCTTGGTGTTATCAGCACCACACTCTCCCGAGTGAGCCTATGGTCCAGCCCTTCAGTTTCCTCACTTCTAAAATAGCACTGATGGCAGTACCTGTTCATGGGTTGTTTGAGGAATAAATGAATTAAAACATGTAAAAGAATTAGAACAGTGCCTGGCTGTGTCAGGGTTAGCTGTTATTGTTGTAAGAACTTTCTCCTCCCCCCCAGCCATTGCACCTACTTTCATTTCAGATCCCCCAAAAGTGCTTATGAGACTTCCTGAACATTGTGTAGCATTAATTCTACTTATTTATCTTGAATATCTCTTTCTCGTATCTCCAAATTCAAGCTGGCTTACGTAAGATGAACATGTAGTTTATGACTTCAAGCTGTGAAAAGTCCAGAGGCATAGACCTATGAATGTTCAGGTATTGCTGGATCCAGATGCTCAAAGGATGTCATTAGGGATCTGTCTCTCACCAGCTCTCCCCAAAGGCTTCCTCTGTGTTGGGTCTTCAGGCAAACTATGGCAAACATGGGGAAGACAGAAGAGGGTGTCCTTGGTGGCCCTCAAGCAAAGGTCTCGGTATTAGTTGTGATTGGATCAGATTTAATTCCATGGGGTTTCTTGCTCTTCCCTGAACCAGTTGCTGTGGCCAAGAGGATGTCATGCTGTGATTGGTTGGGTCTGGTTCACTCAATTTTCCTAAGAGTCAATGGAGGGGTCATTTCCGTCAGAACAGAGGGTAGGAGGAATGTTCCTCCGAACAAAATCAAGTTGCTGTTGCCAAAAGAGAGGCGGATGCTGGGTGGGCAAAATCAACTGTGCATAATTTCTCCACATATTTACGATATTTTATTTGACCATGATTACTTCAAAGATAGATTCCCAGGAGCAGAATAACAGTGCTTCAAAAGGATAATGAAACTTTGTAAGGCTTTGATATACACTCAGTATAAAAGTCAGGATTCTCAGAACAAGCCACAGAAGCTGGTTTAAACAGAAAATAGATTTATAAAGGATGTTAGGGAGCTTACAGAATCTAAGCAAGGCCAAAGAACTGGGTTCCAGGGTGGAGTGACCAGGAACATGTTCAAAGACTCCCTGGAGAACTGGCTGGCTGGGTACACATACTGGAACTTGCCCTGGGGACTGCACTGTCTCCAGGCCCCAGACTCTACTGCGGAACCCTTTTCTCTGCTGCCCTGGGACCCTGGAGGTAGCTGTGGCCCACTTCTTCTGGCTGCCAGTGCCAAGTCCAGCTTGGCTCTATCCTATTGGTGGAGCCTGGTCACATGCTGATGTCCCAGCTGCAAGGGAGGCTGGGAGAGCAGATGTCTGGTTTCCTTATTGAGAGGATGGATGCAGAAGTTTGAGAAATTCCCCAAGCATAGGACTGGCATTCAGAGGTGCTGGGAAGACAAAAAAGAATGGTGAATGTTTATTGCATTCTCCATTTGTTCTAAGATTTGGTGGATTTAAATTTTTTCTTTATTTTAAAATTTAAATTGCTTTTATTTTATTTGAATAGGTCATTTTATTTTATTTGAATAGGTCATATATTTATATGGTTCAACATTTGAAAAAGTAAAAAAAAAATCTCTCTCTTATTTCTGTCCCCCATCCCACCAGTTCCCCTCGCTGGGGGCAACAATTGTTACTAAATCATTTTTAAGCTCTTGTGTTCTTCTAGTCATATTCTTTGCATATATGAGAAAATGACTATATGTTTATATGCATGTGACTACATACACGCACATATAGGTATGTATATATGAGGCTACTTCAAAAAGTTCATGGAAAGATTTGTTTTACCTTTCAATTCCACTTTTCTACAAACTTTCTTTTTTTGACCCGTAAGGGGATCGCAACCCTCAGCACAGTGTGGTCTGCACCACGCTCAGCCAGTGAGCGAACCAGCCATCCCCATATAGGATCTGAACCTGTGGCCTCGGCGCTACCAGCGCCGCACTCTCCTGAGTGAGCCATGGGGCTGGCCCTCTGCAAACTTTCTGAAGTACCCTCAGATATGTTTCTTATTTTCTAAACATACATGGAAGTTTTATAGTTCTCTTTCTAAATAAATTACCATTTATTGAATGCTGAGAATGTATAAAGCTTTATGGATGGTATAAATAAATGACATGTAGGTTATGAAAGCTTTTATTATTTTTTTTAAGGTGGAGACATCTAGGATTTTTATGTAGTCTGATTTCTCTGTCTTTGCCTCTGTGACATTATTGATTGCTTCTTGGCTTTGGGAAGTTATTTTCCCTCCAGATTTTTGGTGAACATTCAATTCTATTTTTAAAATTAAAAGGGTTTTTTTTAGGGTTTGATTGTAATTTTGGTGAGTGATATGCAAGGAGCATTGAATCCTGTACTCTCTGCTGTCCTAAGGAAGAGATCCAAATTAGTCAGGAGTCTTTGGGTCACAAGTGACAGAAGCCCTAACTTGAACTAGCTTGAATGAAGAAATTTATGAGCTTATCTGAGTGAAAAAGGGTGCGGGTAGGAATGCCTTAAGGCATGGCTGGATTCAGGGGTCTAAGTGATAGCATCAGATATTACTATTTCTTGGCTACTTGAACTGGCTTTATTCTCAAGGCTCTATGTAGTGGCAAGTTAAGTATCCAGTTAGGAAAACAAATTGTTCTAGATTCTTCAGAGGGAATTAAATATAGGGAATTGGTTTCATGGGTAACAGAAAAGCTGAGAAGCCAAGTATGGAATGATGAGGCAAACCAGGAATTAGCGACTACAGGAAGCTGCTACTCCCCGCTGCTACAAAGACAAAGACAAAGGGCGGAGGTGGTATTACTGTAGTCCAGCAACTGGAGCCATCTGGAAGGCGCAGACCCATGGTAGGATTTGCTCAGAGGCAGCGATAGAGAGGGCAATGAATACCCTGGCTTGTCCCCTCCTCCCAGAGCCCGTCTTCTGCCAGTCCTTCCTGTTAGCCAAACACACTGTGATAAGCCAGTGAGCAAAGGAGGCCGGGAAATGTAGTCCTTGCAGTATAGAACAGGGCAGGGTGGGAAAGGGATCTGAGATCAGACAATGACTAGGAGAGCTCTCTAACAACTTGGCAGAGTTGCTAACACCTGCCAAGTCTGGTAGGAAAAAGGATGCCAAAAGTTCTTGCAAAAGTCCTGTGTGGCTTGGGTCACATGGGCACATAATTCCCAAAACAATTATGGTGGCCAGAGCAATGCAGTGTGCTGATTGGCTGGGGCTGAGAGTAGGAAATGGACAGGAGAGCAACATGCATGGTGGGGAAGTAAGCTGCGAACGTCCGCTCATTCCAGGCAAAGCACAGAGTGGGATGGTCTCTGGGATAATGACAGCCAAGCACTCGAGTGTCATCTCAGCTCTCTTTCTCTTCTTCTCTTGTCTGCTTTTTCTTCTGTGTTTTACCCTGTCAGTTTTCCTCTCCCCAAGAGGCTGGGTCCAAGGGTTAGGCAGTTTCAGGCTTATAATCCTCTAGACTAGAGGAGAAAGCACTCATCCTTGACAGCTTCAGTCAGAAAAAGTCCTGGGGCAGAGCTTGATTGGTTGGCTTTGGTCATGTGCCCATCTTTGGGCCATTGCAGGGGCTGGGGCATGGGGCACTGTGACTGGCTCATTCAGAATCACGTGACTACCTTTGTGGCCCAGAGGGCAGAGTATGTCATGAGAAAGCCTCAACCAGTATTATGGATTGGGGTGCAGGGTATCCCCCGAGAGACATCAGGCTGCTGTTCTGGGTAGACCAGATTCTTCATTTGAGGTCTTGGTTTCTGGCTTGGTCCCTTCCCCCTGACCTTTGCTTCTTGATTCTTCTATGAGCGAAAAGAACTGAGGGGACTGGTGTCTCCCTAAGTCCTGAGAGTGCTGTTGTCCTTCTGTATATATGATGAACTTTTCACTTTCTAGTTAGGTGTTAGAGACGTGCAGTTTGCCAGAAACAAAGCAGATGAGGTCTTAGCTCATTTGGCTAAAACAGTCATGCACTGTTCAAAAGTAGGGAAAGTGGAAAAAGGGCTAAGAGGAAATGTAATTCTCAGAAAGAGCTGAAATTCTCTTACACTGGAAATGTAAATTGGATAATATCAATTGCAAACTGGAACTGAGCTTTTGCACACGTCAGTTTTAGAGTATTTGACTTGGAAGTTTTTCTTGAATGTACGTGTGTGTGGGGATTCTGGGGTGTAAATGGGGGTGACATTGGAATGTCTGGGGAGGTTCTGGGCATGTGAATGGGATCACTAGGGGATCTTGGGGTGAGACTGGGAGAGACTGTAGTAGAAGTAGGGTGACTTTGGAGATGACTGGGGTGACTGAGGTGTCTTGGATAACTTTGAGGGTGCTATTGGGGGTGTCTGGAAATGACACTGAGGGCCTTAATGTGAGCTGCTGTGGAACATCTTTTAGGAGTATGAGTAGGGTGACTTTTGGGGTGTCTGGGGGGGTGATTCTAAAAACAAGATGGTTCTGTGGACTGACCTTGAGAATGTGAATGAGGGTGACTGGGGGGTCATCTGTGGGATGACCTTCGGGGCATACGTGGGGTTAATTGTGAAGGTGTCTGGGGGTTGAGTTTGGAGTAGTGGTGGTGATTTGGGACAACTTTGAGAGTGAGTAGGGACGACTTTGGGTTGACTTTAGGGGTGCCTATGGCTGACTTTACTAGTGAGAGTGAAGTTATTTTGGGGTTTCTAGGTGACTTTGGTGATGTGAGTGGGGGTGGTTTTGAGGATGTCTGCAGCCAGACTGTGGGGGTTTCTGTTGGGCTTCTCATGGGTGTCAGTGGGGATGACTTTGAAGGGTGACCTTGAGCAATGTCAGGAGGATGACTCTAGGGCATTTGTCCCCCTTTTCCTCCAGTTCTCATCCATATGAGCAAGGGCTTCATGTTACTGGCCCTTGCCCTGTACCTCGTCCTCCTCCCCTCCATGAGCCTCTCCTTCCGGCCCGTCTTCCGCCGCCTGAACAAGACCGACTTTGTCTTCAGTTTCCTCGGCATCAGCATTGGTAAGTGTCGGCGTGCAGGAAGGGGCGTCCTCCCCACACTCAGCAGCTCTTTCTGGCTTTGAGGAGAGGTGTCTTGGCTTTCTGTCCTGCTGTCTGCTGGGGCCTCTGTGTTTGCATGTCTCTTGGGATGTGTGTCCCGCTCTATCTCAGTCCTGCTCTCTTTTTCAGTCAGGGCGTGTGTTGTTGGAGGTGTCCCTCCCTCCCACTGTTTCATTATCTTTCATTTCCCCTCCAGGTATCTTTCTGTCGCGTGTGTATTTCTCTCTGCTTGTCCTGGAGGGTGGGAAAGGATGTCTCTTTCTTTCTTCTCTTCCTGGAGTCCCCGGGGTCATTGTCCAGCCTCTTGTCCCTCTGTGGCCCCACCCCAGCGCAGGGCTCCTGATTCTTCTCAGCCTGACGCTCTTTGCAATCAACTGCAAGATGCTAAGCCCGAGGCCACAGGTGTCCTACCGGGCGACCTTCTACTTGTGCTGGTGTGCCAGCGCCTTGATGCTGTGGGCCGGTGAGGGCGAGGACTCGGGGAGGGGGCGGGGCCTCGGGCTTGCTGGGGGGGGACCTCGAGGGATGGGGCAGCCTCGAGGGATGGGGCGCGGCCTGGGGCGGGACTCGGAGTCCAACGGCCCACGCCGCCCCCTCCCCCAGGAGCCCTGTCCTATTTAAACCAAGTGGGCATGTGGCGCAAAGGCAAATGGACGCCCTTTCGGGTGCGGCAGATGAGCTGTCAGCGGCGGGCCTTGCGGCGATGGGCCCCAAGGGGCATATCCAAACAGCAGAGCTCAGACATGGACCCAAAGCATATCCGGAACCTGCCCAATTCATGCTCCACCCAGAGCGACACCTCAAGTCTCTCCAAGGAATAGTACCCGAACTTCTCAGGACGCTGGCCGGTAACCGCGGCCAGATGCCGGCCCGTCCCCTTCAGCGTGGCCATGCCCCAGAGCTTAGACCTCCCTTGAGGCCCCATTCCCTAAGAACAGGTCACGCTCTCCGAGGACAGGTGACAAATCCCACCCCTCAGGCCAGGGCTCGCCCTTTGCAGCTCTGTCACCGCCCACTGGGTCCTCACAGTGCTCCCACCCTGGAAGTCCAACACCCCTCTCCCGTTCTGCCTCTGAGCAGGCAGTTGTCCATCCCCGGGCAGTGTGGCTGGTTTGTGTGGCCCTGCCCCCAGTGCCCAGCCCTCGGAGGCCACGCCCCGAATCCACTCTCCCTCCTCTCAGCCAGGACCTTCCGCATCAGAACTTCTCACCGTGGCCCGGCCCCACCCCGAATGTCCACTCTTGCCTCCAGAAGGACAAAGTACCGCCCAGCATTTGGTGAAGCTCCGACCTTCTGCGGAACAGGCGCCTCCCCGGGAAGGTGTGGCTTGAAATCCATCCCTCCATCCCCCTTCCCCGACTTCCCTGCCACAATAAAACGTAGGCGCCAAACAACCTCTCAGCGTTCGACTCTCCATTGCCCCCATAACCAACCCTCCCCGGCAAGGCAAGGGCAAGGTCGGTCAGGCCCAGCCCCTTTTTAGGATCTGACCCTTTCCCTGACTATCTACACCTGTCAGGGCTCCTTCTCTTTCCACCTGCTCCTGGCCACATGCCTCGGGCACAAGACTGGGACGGCTTCGGGTAGGCTCTAGCCTCAGCCAGATGGGTACCGAGAGTCCAGGTGCCCAGGTGCCCGGTGTCTGAAGGCCAGATGATGCCCGAACTTGACGCTCATTTGATGCATATTCGATTTTACTGGAAGGCGACAGGACAGGGCATTCAGGAATTCTCTGCCATGGTGTCTTTGATCCACTGTACATAGAGCAGCACTTTGGTGTAGATGGAGGGCTTATTGGGGAGGCCACACGGGATGTAGCCCCATGATGTGATACCCTGAAGCACACCATTGCAGATCAGTGGGCCCCCTGAGTCACCCTGGGAGCACAAGAGGGACAGTGAATGAGAAAGATCAGCGGGGCCTGCATTCTGCCTGTGCAGTTCCAGCTCTCAGATCTGGGGATTCCAGAGCCCACTCCCAGAAGGTAGGTGGGGATTCTAACAGATGCAACCAGTGGCTTGGGTTCTGGCCAATGGGGAAGAAACTTCAGAGTCCAGCTCCTGCATGGTGGGCAGGGTCCAGGAGGACAGTTCCTGCAGATGGGTCAGCAGGAGGAGGAGCAGCCCACCTACAGGACCCTCCCCACCGCAGGGCTCATCTCAGAGACCATCTCTCAAGGAAGCTTTCTCTCACTAGACAGTAAATACGTGTTAAAGGGAGAACAGGTGAACTGTGATGTGGAGGAGTGAGATGCAGGTGGTATCTGGATGGGGAGGGGAAAATGGAGGAGGGAGCTATGGCACTGAGTGGGTGGTTACAGCTAAACAGCAGAGGAGCAGATGGCTGGTTAGCTCTCAGGACCTAGTTCAGAATGAGTCCCCTCCCCCAGCCCTTCAAGCCACTGGGGGGAGGGGCTGGCTTACCACGCAAGTGTCTTTGCCGCCTTCCAGATGCCCAGCACACAGCATGTATTCTGTCACCTTTTGCGTGTGGGCTTTCTCACACACTTCATTCTGCAGGAGTTTGAGGTCAACACACTGGAGTTCATCTGGGTACGATACTATGGGCAAAGGAGAAAAAAAGGACTGTTGGGCTGGCTGGTTAGCTCATTTGGTTAGAGCGCGACCTTGTAACATCAAGGTCAAGGGTTTGGATCCCTGTACCAACCAGCCACCAGAAAAAACCCACAAAAGGACTGTAACCAGACCCCACCTGGTTCTTTAGCCCCACATCCCTTAGACCCAGGTGTCTGGGCTCCAGACTGCACTGTGTGGCGCAAGCATACACTTCTCTGGTGTGATGCTGCCCCAGCCGGAGGCGAAGCAGGTGCTCTCCAGTTCTGGTTCCTGGGTGGGCAGGTCCAGGGTCTTCACAGCGTCTGTGATATTGGCGGGCTCCTTCAGGCGGAGCAACATGATGTCGTGGCTGTAGTCATCATCTGAGTGGCGGGTGTAGTTCTTCAGGTAGCTCAGGTTAAAGCCATGGTGTGGGAAGCTCTCACTGACCTGGACAAACTGGGCTGTGTCTTCGTTTTCAAACAGGTTGTGGCGACCCAGCCAGAGCTGGTAATTCCTGGAGAAAGATGGGGATGGAGGGAATGAGGAGAGAGGAGGGGAAAGGGGATATGAGGCAGGGAAACATGGGGGAGGGTCCCAAAGGAGAGAAAGAGAAATAGAAAAACATGGGGGTGGGGATGAGGGGAGAGAGGAGGAAAAATAGTTAAGGAGAAAAAGAGACAGTGAGTGAGAAGATAAAGGAAGGTGAGAGTGCGAAAGGCAAATGCGGAAATAGACAAACGAGGTGAAAAACAGCATAAAAGGATAGAGAAAATTTGAAAGGAAGAGGGAGCAAAAAAAAAAGACTCGATAAGAAAGAGAAAAGACAGAGACAGTGAAAAGTAGACAAAGGGAAGAGAAAGGGAGTGAGAAGGACGAACAAGGAAGGGAGTGAGAACTGGACAAAGGAGAACGGGACACGGGAAGTGACAGGAGGGAATGAGCAGTGGAGGCAGAGGGGAAGCCAGGAGGTGACAGAGAGAAAGGCAGGGAGGACATGGAGGGGGTGGGGCAGGTGCAGGAGGAGGAGCCCGGCCTGAGAGCAGCTCAGCTGCAGCTGGGGCCGTCGTGCAGGGAGGGGAGGCCTGCCAGCAGCCTGAGGTCTGGCCCGCAGCCCAAGGTCAAGTCCCCGTTCCCTCCCCAGCCCCCTGCCCTCCCCTTTCTCTCTCCCTCTTCTTCCTCCTCCCCTCAATGGCCCCCGCCCGGCTCCAGCTCAAACCAGCCCTTCCCTGGGTCTCCCCAGAGTGGACTCCTTGTCCTGCAGGCTGGGGCTGGGCACAGTGAGCAGTGTCCCCTCACACACACACAACACACACACATGTTGGGGATCAATCTCTTCCTTCTCTCTGGGGGAGGGGGGTCCTCTTAGGCCCCTCCTGGGTGTGTGAGCAGGAGAGATGGGGGAGGGGGAGTGAGGCAGAGACAGAGGGAGAGATGGGCAGGGAGACGGAGGACGAGACATACAGTGAAAGAGATGGCCGCAGAGACACCCAGACATGGACAGAGACGGGGAGAGACACTGAGACACGGAGACAGAGAAGAGAGAGGGAAAGAGAGGCCAAAACACAGTCACAGAGAGATGCACACATTGCCAGATACCGAGGCACAGGGAGAGACACAGAGGGTGACCCAGGTGCCATGGAGAGGGTGATCCAGTCCCAGCTCTGCCTCTCCCCATAGGACGTGGACCAGCACCTTCCTTCTCTCCCACAGTTCCACAGCCTCATCTGAGGTCACCCCAGCGGAAAGGCACAGCTGTTTATTCCCGTGGAGCACAGACACTCCCTCCCCAAATCCCAGGCTCCACTCACTCGCTGAGGCAGTGGGCGGCCGTGAGCACCCACTGCGGGTGTATCAGCACGCCCCCACACTGGAAGTTGCTGAAATGGTACAGAGCCACCTGCCAGGGCTGGGAATTCTTCTCACACTCCCAGCCTTCCACGATTCGGGACTGGATGGGGGGCACAGCGCCTGCAGAGGGGGTGCTGAGTCAGGAGCATGGTTGGCAGGAGGGGCTGGAGGACTGGGCTGGAAGAAGGAGCTGTGCTGTGGGTTTGAAGGGACATGGGGCAGAGAACCAGGGCTGGGGGTCTGGGGACGTGGGAAGGGCCTGGAATTCTGGACTATTCCCTGGGTTTGCGGGTTGGTGGATGGTCTTGGGTGGGGAGATTTTATGCTCACAGAACAGAGCAGACCCCAGGGATCAGGAAAGGAGACACAAGACAGTGTCTGTAGTAGACATTTGGTCTGGGTGTCTGATCATTTGAAGTGATTTGGGGTCTTGGACTGGGATGAGAAGTGGTGGGTTGGGAGAATAGAAAGGGCTTCCAGTATCCAGGGATAAAGGCCCCAAGGGAGAGGATCAGAGACTGAGAGAGGAAGGATTTGGAGGGTTAAGAGGCTCCCGGGCTGGGGAAACAGGGCCTAGATTGGGCTTTCAGGGTTCAGTAAAGGATACAGCTTTAGGAAATCAGGTCTGAAAAGTCAAGAAGTGCATTTGGGGTGGGGAATTTGGGGGTTATTTGGGGTCCCTGGATTGGGACTGGAGAGGGATCAGCTGGAGTGGGAGAATTACAATTTGGGGCTTCTAAGTGAAAGGGTAAAATAAAGGGTTAGGGCTAAGGCTGGGAGTGCACTCTTGTGAGTTTTGGGGGTTCTGTGAATCAGGAATGGCATGTAAGAGGGAATGAGGGCCTTGGGGGATAGGGCTGGGGTCAAGGCTGGGCTGGGGCTCAGGAGGAGCAACGAGTGAGTGGTAGTTATTCTTGGATAGGGCGAGGCTGGGATAGGGTGAGGGACAGGGTCTGTTTCTCATGGGGATAGGGTTCATGGTCTGAGGGCACTGGAGGGATTTGGAGTTCTCTTGGAGGTAGTCCAAGGACGGGAGTAAAGAGGTCAAAACGGGGGCCAAGCAGCTGTGGGAATGGAGTGGAGGACCCATTTGATGTGGGGTTTTAGAATCACATGTTGGGGCACTTGGGGGAGAGGTCAGGGCAGGATAGCTGGTTTAGGAAGGTATTCAGGATCCTGTGGGTGGTTTCCAGAAAACCAGAGCTGTGCAGGAGAGATTCAGGAGGAGGAGAAGCGCCAGAGCTTTGGGAGGGATGGAAATTCTACCAGGAAAAAAGTATGTAGTTGGGGGGGTTGGGTGTTTTTCCTGGGAGAGAAGGCTAGGGGTGCTGGATGGTTCTGGGGCAAAGATAGAAGGGACCTTTGCAGACTTCCCATACCAAGAAGGGGGCCCATCTGGTGTCACACACCAGTCTGTTTGGGAAATGGGGTTGTCTGATGAAATTTGGGGGACCTGGGAGGTTGGGTGTAGGATCAGATGTCAGGGTCTGGAGGACAGTTGAGAACTGACTTCTGGATGGGAAGTCGTTGGATATGGAGGGATTTGTGGATTCAGGAGCAAGACCATTGGGCCATAGTGAACTAGGGGGTAGGAGGGGATCATCAGGGTCCAGAGTACAGTGGGCTTAGGGGAGCTCCATAGAAGAGTTGGGGGTCCCCCCAAAGAGAAGACAGAGATGGCACAGAATCTGCCCTTTTGGTAAAGTGGCTGGTGATAGGGAGTTGACTAGGGCAGAGTAGAAAGTATGGAGGGTTCCTAGGAGACGGTAGGGACCTAGTGTGGGAATGAGGACTGTGAGGAATTTGGCTATGTAGTGGGCTGGAGGGAGGATTTTAGGGTGGGGCTGGGAGAGACAGGAAAGAGCCTAGAACCGTGGTCTGTGGAGAGCTGTGGGCTGGAAGGACAAAGCTGGGTGTGAGGAGAGGGGAAGGATTATGGGGGGTGAGGGCAGCATGAGTCAGGGCCCACTCTCCCTCCCTCATCCCCCCACTATCTCACCAGTCCCCCCCAGGGACAGGGCGAGGCACAGAACCAGGAACCACATGGTGACAGAGGTGTCCAGGGACAGGCAGGCGGTGAGCAAGGTGCTGGGAACCTCCCCTAAGAGCCTTTTAAAAGCCTTCATCCCCTCAGAGCCCCGCCCCTGCTCTGCTGGCACCCAGATGCTGGCCAAGGCCCTGCCCCTGCTGCCTGGGGGCTGGATTATCCCCTCCCATCCTCAGAGCTGTGGAAGGAGAGGGAGAGCCAGCACCTGTTGTCCTGCGGGCCCTGGATCATGATCACACTGGATGCATTCCCAGGGCTGAGGCCAGGTGGGGCAGGGCCTGTGGCTCCTGGTGCCTTGCTTTGGGGGACAAAGCCAGTGAGACAAGTGAGGGGGGACGAGAGGGAGCAGAAACAGGAGGATGGATGAATCACTTGCCCCCATCGAAACCTCATATACCTAAGCCCTAAGTAAGGCCCTGAACTCCAAGACCCGGTGTGCCCCCAAATACCAGCAGTGAGGGCTCTGATTCCCTGCACCCACTCAGAACCAAATTCTCAGTTGCCAGCTTCCACTGAAATACAAGCCTTGGTTTTCAAAATGCCCCAATTCTTGCATTCCCAGACCTGAGATCTATGTCCCCAAAGCTACTGTTCCTTTCATAAGAAAATTTTGGGGTATACATCCCTAGCACCCCCAGATACAGGAATATGAAGTTTTAGTAGTCTCCCAGAGTAAATTCTTTAGCATTTCTAAGTTCAGTGTACCCCCAAACAATGTTGGGGTCCCAATGACTCTCCCACTCCTTTTCCCCGATATAGGTGCTCGAGGTCATGTTCTCCAAAGTCCTAGAGATCTGGACTACCTGCCCTCCCAGTTCAAGATCATCTTCCCCACAAATTTCAATTACCATCCCCCCACTCTGCCAATACAATAGGCCTTGAGCCAGGTTCATGTACTTCAACATTCAGTGGCCTTGAAATTCACATTTTTGGGTCTCTAAAGAGAATCAGGAACTAGATTCCTGCAGTTTCAACAGTAATCCCATAAGCTTCCAACAATGTTACCTTGGCTCTTTAGTAAAATCAAAGCAGCTCACAGGGTCCCAGGCTCTGCTGTATGTCAGGAACCTGGCTAAGGAAAGGAGATTATTTGCTTTTTTGCCATGGCTATCAGGAAGTGCAGAACTAAATCCTGAAGAAAAAGAAGTCACTCTTATGATTTAGTGTGTGCTGAGTCCTTATACTGGGGTCCACAGATACAGGGTATTTATTCAGTGCCACACACTATTCTCATCATTTTATATGAATTACCTTATTTAATCCCTATAAGGTAATCAGTATGATGAAACCAAGGCTGAGCGAGATTCGGCCTCTTGTTCAAGAAAACACAGATGGTCATATGTATTGAATGAACAGAGAGACCGGCTTCAAGCCATTTCTCCACAACTAGGGATGGGGGCAGTGAGTGAAAAGTAACAGTGTACGGTGTCTCTAGGTTCACCACCCAATCTCTGGCTTCCATTTCCCTTCGTTCCAGAAGAAAGTCACAGAAACTCCTACAAAGAAACTTGGATCAGAGCTCTGTTTTCTTGGTGTTATACAGGTGACCTTGAGAATCAGCTTTGGCTTCAGGCAGGACAAGTTCTTGGGTAACATCTGGGCCTTGGAAAGGGTCTTGGGGGATGGCCCAATTCTGTCCCAGGTCAGGATGAGGCTGCAAGCCAGCTGTGGGGGCTTCTGCTCAGTCAGGGACACAGGTGGCAGGCCAAAATAGTCAGTTCCTCTTCATAGTTTCCCTGATCCACTCCAAGTAGCGGCAGACTTTGGTATAGACACCGGGCTTGGTGGTGGTGTCACAAGGGACATCACCCCAGGACACAATGCCCTGCAGGACACCCCCACAGATCAGGGGTCCCCCGGAGTCACCCTGTGGGGATAAGGAGGGGGTCTCAGGTTTAGTGGGAACCTCCTGAATCCCCACACTAATCACCATTCACAATCTCAACCAAAACCCAATCCAACCCCAACCCAACTCACTATGACTCACCCAACCCATGTCCAATCCCACCCCTATGCAACCCCACCCCAACTGAACTAAGCTGAACCCCACTGAACCCAAGCCTCATATCTTCCCCATTCAAAATTAAACCAAACCCATGTCCATTCTCACATCAATGTAACCCAATCCCAATCTCCATGTTTTTTGCATAACAAACGAAATCTACCCCATTCCAATTCAACCCCAACATATTTCCCATCCCAAAACAAACCAAACCTGTTCCCATTCTTAACCCCAACTCATGTCATCCCAAACCAACTGCCACATTATCCACCTCATATGCAATCCAACCCTATCCCCATCTGTACTCACCCCATTCTCACCCTATTCTAAGTGCTCTTCCTACTCCACCTCCAAACCTAACCCTAACATCCTCTCTGGCCCAAAGCAAAGAAAGCCCAACCCTGTTCTAACTCTCAAACCTGTCCCCATCCTTCGTCTTCCACCTGATGGTCCCCTCTTGGCTCTGACCTCACAGGAGTCCGTGCCTCCGCCCTCTACTCCGGCACACACCATCGTGTTCATCAGGCGCCTTGGATAGTCCTTGTTACAAGATGTGTCCGAAATAATGCTGATGTTGGCACAATGCAACGTATCTGGTAGACTCACTGGGGAGGACAGTGGGCTTGAAGCAGACCCATAAATTCCGGCCCTTGTCCCCTCTGCCCAAGAGCCCTGGAGAATAGGGTTCCCCTAGGCCTGACATCCGGCTCCATCATTTCACGCACCTTGTGACTCGGGGCTCCCTGTGGTCCCAGGCTCGTTGTCGGACACCAGGCCCCAGCCGGAGACCACACAGGCCTCGCCGGGCCTGGGGCAACGCAAGGGCAGCGCCGCGGGGTGGACCTGGGAGGTCAGGTGCGCGGGCCGCACTAGACGCAGCAACATGACGTCATGGCGGTGGCTGCGCGCTTCGTAGCCCGGATGTGGGATGACGCGCGAAACAGCCCGCAGTTGCTCCGGGCCATCGCGCTTGCGCAGGTTGTGCTCGCCCAGACGCACGCTCATGAAGCTGTGTGGGCGCGTGGTTGCCCGGAGGTGGAGTGAGGAGTAGGCAGAAAGATCAAAGACTAGGCAACCTGGGGTCCCCCGACCCTTGGTAATCTGGAGACCCCTTTGCCCTTTCCGAAGACACTGATGCCGATGGTTCCGGCCCTGGCCCCTCGGGGACCACGAAGCCTGAAGTCATGAACACACCCGGAACTCGACCCCCAGGCTCCAGCCCTTCCTTCCTCGGAATCCAGGATTCTCAGATCCAGGATTCTCAGATCCGTAGACACTTCCCGCATCGGGGGGTCAAAACCAAACTTACCAGTCTCCTTCCTCTTTCAGGGACCTGAGAGTTCGGAATCCTCATCCCGCCTCACCTAAGGGCTGGACCTTCAGCTTCTTTCTCTTTCAGAACCCCTTAGTCAGCACCTCTTCCCCACTCGAAGCCAGGAACCAGCCTCCGCCTCCCCCGCTCACCCACTCGGCCAGGCCACGTCAGGACCCTGAGCTCTGCTGTCATACCGGGTTTGGCAGTGGGCCGCAGACAGCACCCAGCGTGGGGAGATGAGGGAAGCACCGCAGTTGAAGCGTCCACGCTCGTAGAGGGCCACTTGCCACGGCTGGGAGTGGGGCACGCACTCCTCACCTTCCGGCATCTTGTCACCATCCTGGGTCGCTGGGAGAAGGGGTAGAAGATCCCTGAAGACAGGAACCTTTTCATCACCCCCTACGTCTTCCTTGCACCCTGCCTTCTCTACTACTTTTCACCTACGCCTTATCCCGATTTCTTAAGAAGTCCTTGATATTTGCTTTGAAGCAATGTCCTCTCTGGCTTTTACAGATGCTGCATGTTTTCTTCAGAACGCTAGCCCCCATGCCATTTGCTACAGGACTCTGGGAGAGAGAGAAAGGGGAAAGGACCAGAGGGCAAGAAGCCGTTTGTGATTAGGGGTGGAGACAGGGACACTGGATACAGTTGAGACAGGTGATCAGTTAGAACCTGTCATTCAAGGTCATCAAATTGTCACAGACATCAAACGAATGTGGCCACTCAGTATGTATGACACACAGTTTTGGCCAGGTACATGTTTTGCAGTTTCAAGAATCCCAGCACACACGCACACACAAACAAAAGAGTCACAGCACAGATGTTTGTATGTGTAAATGAGTATGGACAGTTAAGACATGGACGTGTACACACACAGCTTTGGACATAGATCAGATCTAAATTCACAGTCTCCAGTGTGGGTCTTGACATCCAGTGTCACAGATGTGCACACTTGCTCACAGGGTCTGGACAAAGAAGGTGGAGCCCTCAACCCTGTGCTCAAACATACTAGCTGTGAGACTTTGAGCAAATTTGACCTTTCTGTGTCTCTGTTTCCTCATCTGTAAAATGGGGATTGTTTGTAAGAATGAAATAGGAGTGTGTGTGTGTGTGTGTGTGTGTGTGTGTGTGTGTGTGTGGTGAATGGTGCCTGGTCCATTGTAACTGCTTAATAAATATTAATTATTTTTAACAAAGGACAACTTGATTTATTTGTGGGGACATACATGTGTATGTTCAGGTTGTGGACACAAATATGGCCAAAGTAAGTCAGACATCTGCACAGACTCAGATATGATATTCAAAGTCAAAACTGTGATTCATCCACAAGCCATTTTGTAGAAAGTCAAAGTTGCAGACACCAACTCAGAGGGCCAACACTCAGATGTGGAACTACGTGATCAGATTCCAGAGCAACACTTGGACACAGGGCTGGGCATTCAAGGTCAAAAACACAGCTGGAGTCAAAGGTGGTCAGGACAGGACATATTTATCCATCTCTAGACCAGACCCCAAGCCAGATCTGTGGTGTTAAAGGTCACTCATCTGGTTTCACATATGGAGATCTGGTTCATGATGTGGGCAATATGTGGACACACAGGGCTCTGCACACTTAACTCCCCCAACCCCCGCCCCAAACAGCACCATGCACAAGGGCAAAATCAGGGATGTTTCAAGGTCACAGGACCACAGCCCCATACATTGGACAACGTGGATGTGTCCCCTCAAGGTCACAGCCATGCAAACAAACACCCACAATGGGGCAGGATTTGTACAATCAGATCAAATGCCCACATTTGCCCACCAGGGTCAGGAACAGGGCCAAAGGCTCTGGTGAGGCCAGGAGAACGCGGATGTGGTGGACAAGGGGCTTAACAATGGAAGGGTGAGGTTGTTCTAGGAGAAGGGTGGAGGGCACAGGCTGAACACCTGGGCAATAAGACTGCATCTGGCCAGTCCAAGCCAGAGGAGAGCGGAGGCCCCAGCTGGGTGCAGCAGGCAGGCAGGAGGCAGGGAAGAGAGCACAGAAAGAGCCCGAGGGGAGGCTGGAAGCATGGGGGAGGTCTGAGGGGCCCACAGGGGTGAGGGTCATCTGGGGTTGGAGGGTTAATGAAAGTCTACCCCCCCAATTTCTCCAGGGTAGAGGCATCAGATTACAATTAATTTCTCCACGGGTGGTGGCTGAGCATGGTCAGGAGTTCTCCTGCCACCCAGGGTGACCTTGACCTAGTGGCCATCCCTTTCTGACCTGCAGCCCCCTCCCTTGTCAAATGAGGTCAGCGGTGCCCACCTCATATGGATGTTGTATGTAAGGGCTAAGTGCTGTGCCTGGCACATACTAAGTGCTCAGCAAAGCTAGCACATCTTACAGGGCACTACCCAGGGCAAGTCATGTGCTAGGGCCTCACACATGACTACATTGAATCCTTATGACCCTGTGAGGGAAGGAATGTTGTCTCCATTGCAGTCAGGGAGCCTGAGTCACAGAGATGGTAAGTGCCTAGAAAATGGCAGTGGCAATATTGCAACCGAGAGTCTTTGCTCTTGGCCTCTCAACACGTGTTTAATGCTTATGATGTGTATCACTTATATTACGCGATTGGGATCTCTCCATTAGTGTCGTAGGGAGGTGCTGTCTTACATAGAAGGCATTCGAGGCCCAGAGAGGTGAGGCAATTTCCTGAAGATCACACAGCAAGGAAGGGGCAGCTCTAGGATTCAAACTCAGGTTTGTGTGATCCCAGGGCTTTGTTCATGGTCAAGGGCAGTGAGAGGCCCCAGGCAACATAGAGACTCCAGAGAAGCCCCAGGCCCCTGGCAGCTCTTATGGTGGGGTGAGGACTCAGGGACATTGGCAGGTGGCTGAGGTGGGGACCAGGGTGAGGGAAGAATCATCAGGTGATCTTTGGGTGAGGTAGGGGCTGGCAGATCATAGGGCATGGAAATACTGGAAAAGGGGGCACCACGTTCCCACAGACCTGGATCCAACCTCAGTCCACCTCACCTGTGGACACCAGCAGGAAGGAGAAGGTGAGGAGAAACCGCATTGTGGAGGAGGGACCAGGGCTCAGCTGAAGTCTGAGGAGGGGAGAGAGAGAACAGAGGTGAATTGAGTCCTTCTGCCTCCACTAGAATCCCTCCAGACCCAAACTCATCCTGTATGCTGTTTAAGAAACTTCTTCTTACAACCCCATCCCCTTCTCCCCAGCCCTCAACTTGCTCTTCCTCCAAGGCCCCCCATCTCTAGAGGACCTACACTTCCTCTAGGCATGGGGACAGACCCCAGGCATCCCCACAGCCTGTCAGAATGCAACATCATGCCACCAGCCTGGATCTCTTTCCATCCCCAAGGCCCTGGCTCGGGACGCTATCCCAGACTCCTATCCAGCCTTTTGGGTCCCCCACTAGTCCAGTCTGCACCATTCCCCCAGCTTGTCCCCCACCCAAGGCCCCAGAGGGTCCTTCTACACCCAGACTTAACTGTGCTGCTTCTCTGCTCAGAGTCCTCCATGGACCCCCAGCATCCCCAGGATAAAGTCCCAGCTCCTCAGCCTCATTTTCAAGGACATGAGTGGCTTCTCCCCTTGCATCCTTTCTGGCTGGGCTTCCCATGACCTTGTCTTTTGAGACACGGCCAATGCTGCCATTTTCCCTCCTGCAATTTTAGGCCCCCACACCTTTGCTCAGGCTGTTCCTCCTACCAGGTATGCCATTCCCTTCAAGGCTCACTTCCTCCTTGAGGCCTTTTCTGACCTATCCTGACCCTCAGTTGTGTCTGTTTCTCCCACCAGACTGGGAACTCCACGAGGGTGGGCCCAGTCTGACTGGATTCAGGATCTCCAGTACTGCTTGGTGCAGGATCTGGCCAATGGGAGGTCTTGAGAAGCTTTGGGAGTGAATTAAAGTCCTTCCTCCCATCATCTTCCAAATATGTTTGTCCTCTGAGGCTCAGACCCCAACTCTTCTAGGAGGCCCCAGTGTACCTAACAGGTGTCTCTTCTGGATCCCACAAGCACTCATTCTACCTCCATTACAGCACAGATGCCCACAAATGCTGAGGTCTGGCCTGTCCTCCTTTCCCCCATCAGGGGTCCCCGAGAGTGGGGCTCAGGTTGGGTTCTCTCTGTGTCCCCAGCACTGCCCAGCCTGGGGCCTGGCACACAGGAGGTCTCAGAGAGATCATTCTGAACTGACCATGTTCTTGGCTCTGGTACAAGAACTTTCAGGGACATCCTCCTGATTCACTCTATCCCCTCCCCCTCCACTCCACGGACCCCTTCTAGTGGCTCCAGGACATTTTCTTCATTCAAGTTCAACTTGGACCCTCAGTAAAGGACACGTGGACCTACCCAGTGCCCTTGACACTTAATTCCCACAGGGTGGTCCATGTCTCCTCTCATCCTGCCCTCCCCGCCCCCCCTGCTGCCAATTCTGTCTCAAAGATCTCACCTCCTCCAGATCCTCCAGAAGCCTCTAGTGCAGCTTAGATGCCAGAAGAAGAAGGGGAGCAGGCACCAGAATGCCTCAATTTATAAGCTTCCAACCCCACCTGGGTCTGGGGGTGGGGTGGTGTAGGGTGGGGTAGGAGACAGATTTACAGGCAGGGACGCCTTAGTGGCTGGTGGGGTGGGGGACTAGGCCTAATGAGCATTTATTAGACTGAAGCTATTGTCTGAGTCTACAAGTAGGAATTCCCCACCAGGAGTAGTTCCTCAAGGGGGAGAGACAGGAGGGCAAGAGCAGAAAATTGGAAGACATCAAAATTCCAGAGCCTGGAATTTGGGGTCTGGAGTGTAGAAATTGGACCCTAGCCTTGGTGTTATAACACTGTGCTCTAACCAACCGAGCTAATCAGCTAGCCCTGGAGTGTGGATTTTGAAGTCTGAGTTCTGGATTATGAATCCTGGAATCAGACATTTGAGTGACAGGTCTTGGGCTTGGGTTCTGGATCCCAGGTGTTTGAATCTAGAGTCTGGAGTCTGGTGTTTAGCATCTGGGACTTGAGGTTGGAAACCTTTGCACCTGCTGTGTGAAGCCTGGGGCCTGGAGTACAAATGGTAGATTTGGGATCTTGAATTTTGGGGTCTGGATTCTAGAGTCTGGCTCTAGACTCTGAGATTTCATGGGTAGACTTTGGAGTGTGAAGTCTGGAGTTTCAAATCTGCATTGCACATTTAAAAGGCTGGACTGGGAGACAGGGGCCTGACTTCCATGATTCTAAGATTGGTAGAATCCTGTCTCTAGAGTATGAATTTAGAGACCGTGAGCCTGGGGTTTCTATTCTGGAACCTGCAGTCTAAATTCTGGGTTCTGGAGCTTGAAATCTGGATTCTGCATTCTGGAAGTTAGAGATCATAACTAAGATGACCCAAGGTTTTGGGTATTTGAGGCTGGCTTCTAGTGTTTCAGAATCCCAGAGGGCCCTCAACAATTGTCTAGAGTCTATCCTGGCTTATTTAACTAATGAGGAGGTCCAGAGAGCAGGAGGAGATGATCTCAGGCCATTCGATGAAGGATGGAATGTGTTATAAGCATGGTGCCTCCTGATGTCTTGAGAGCCATCACCTTTATGAGAAGAAGCTGACTGATTGAGGTTCAGCTATTCTAGAGCTATAAGCCCTTGAAATATCTAGAATACCAGACCTTCAGATTTTAGAGCCACAGGCCCTAAGACATTCTGGCAGTGTAGGTCCTCAGACACTCTGGAACTAGAGATTTTCGAATAACCTAGAACCACAGATCTCCAGACACTCTGGAGATTGGAGCTTCTGATGTTCTGAAGCCCCCAGATCTTCAGGCATTCTAGAACTTAAGGTCTGCAGACATTCTACAAACCCAGACCTGAAGACTGTCGGGATCCCCGGGCTGGAAGCTATTCCAGAAATCTTTTGTCCCTTTGTCTCCCACAAATTCATGCTCAGTGTCTTTGGGCCTCCCACTGGGCCACAGCTTCAGTTGAGTAGCCCGTTTATGGGATGTTGGCTACAGATCACTTCCCCGTGCGAGGTGCTTCTCACATTATCTCATTTATTTCCTTGACAGCCCTGTGAGGTGGTAATTATGGCTTCCTCCTTAATATGAAGGAAACTGAGGCACAGAGAGGGGGAGACAGAGGCAAAGGTCACGCAGAAGGCAAAAGGCCGAAGGGGAGAGGAATCCGGTGTTCTGACCCTGGGAACTCCCTTTCGCCCGCCCCCTTCCCCGGAGACACCTCCCGGTGTTGGAGCACAGAGGCGGTGAGGAAAGGGGGACCAGTGGGATCACGAGAGCTTCCGCAGTGTCAGGCCTGTGCTAAGCGCTTCCCATCACGATCGCATGTGCCCCTTCTACTAGGCAGGCACTGATGGCCTCCCCGTGACACACATGGGGACACCTAGAGAGCCCCCACCGAACAGACAGCGCAGGTGCACACCCAGACTGTGCGCGGGCTCACTGGGAAGACGCCCGGCTCGCCGGTCCCGCCCGCCCCGCCCCCGACGCGGTGACGTCATGTCCAGCCCCTCCCCGACGCGGTGACGTCGCGCCCAGCCCCGCCCCCGCCCTCTCCGACCGGCTCAGACCCGTGAGGTCTGCCCAGGCGCCGTCCCCTCCCCCGCGGCCCGAGTCCGCCTTCTGCTCTGCTCCTCCTCCTCTCGAGAACACGCCCCTGGAGTCTATTTCATCAGCTCGCGTGGTTCCGCCGCCAACCACGCAGGTCTCCTCCATCTGACCTTGAACTCCTGCGTCGGACAACCTTGGTCCTGGGCTCCCCCAGCCCCAATGTCCCTAGGCCCCTCTCGCTCACCGTGTCCTAACTCATTTCTCTCTTTCCCCAAACCCTCTTGTCCTTTCATGTTCCTCATCATGGATAGCCCCCCGACCACCCGGTCATGCAGCCAGACCTCCCAGGCGCCGGTCCTGGTCCCTTCCCTCCCCGTCCCTTACAGCCCATCGGTCCCCAGCCCTGTCTCTGCCTCTCTTTGCCCTGTCCCCTCCTCTCTGTCCCCTTAGCCTGACTCTAGCTCAGACGTTCTCTTCTCAGCCTGGACCCTTGCCCCAGCCTCCTCCCTGTCCTCCCACCGTCCAGTCTGTCCCCTCCCTTAGGTTATCACGTGGCCCCAGAGGGTCTCACCCTGCTCCTCCCCTGCCCATAGCCCTTCCGTGGTGGCCCTCCAGTATCCCCGGACGAGTTCTCTGCCCCTCAGTCTGAATACCCCTTTGCAATTCCCCTGCCGGAACAAGTCCCCCTCTTGAACCTGCCTACCCTGCCTACCCTGCCTACCCCGGGAGGGGGACTGGACTCCTGGTGTCTGAAGGAACCCTCCGTGAGGTGCTGGCCCTCCTCTAATTTAGTCTCGCCACAGTCTCTGTTCCTTAGGAGAGCAGACAGCCTGGGCTCAGACTCCGGTTCTACTGCTTACTAATTTGGATGACCCTGGTAAATGTGTTTCTTTCTCTGTGCTTCAGTTTCTCATCCTTGAAATCAAATAATCAGAGGACCCCTCATAGAGTTTTGTGAGGTGTATCGAGTTAGTTTATGTAAGGAGCTAAGAACACATAGTAAATGATGACTATCAATTCCATTCCTGTTTTACAAGAGCAGACTGGGAGGGCCACTCAGGCGACAGAAGGTGGGGGGTCAAGAGAATGGTTCTAGGGGCCCTGTCGCCCTTGGGTGAGAAGCACCTCTCTGGTTGTCAGGTGCTTATCTGCGAAGGGGTCTTAGGTTGGGGTGAGACTTCACTGGGGTTGGATGAGGTAATGCCCATGGAACAGGTATGTACATCATAAAATCAGGCTGACGCTTGAAAGACCGGTTAACACGGTACATTATTCAGACGTGGACTCTGGAGCCAGGTGGCCTGGGTTCGAATCACGCCTCTGCCACATAATACCATGTGCCCTTGGGCTGTTCACTTAGTCTCTCTGGACTTCAGTTGCCATGTCTATAAAGTGGGAATAATAATTGCTTCTGCCACTTCTGTAGGAGTGTTTTGAGGTATTAATGCCTGAAATCCATGACTTGGCACTTAGTCAGTGCTGAGTAATCCTGCACCATTATTATCAT